GAACCAATTCCCTCAAAGTTCTTAGTCCTCCACTGGGAATTACCAGTTCCCAGACAGCCCCAATTCCCAAAAGCCCTGCTCCAACCCCAATAGTCGTTAATTTCATCTCCATTTTCTAAATAACAATCACCCTTTCCCAACCTCCACACCTAGTATTTAGGTACTTTTAGGATCCTAGCCTAAAGAAAAGACTGTGAAGCTGGGAATATATTATTTCAGACTGTATATCTGCAAACATACACACACATTCAAAATGGCCACAAACTTCTTAGTCATGAGGTTCAACAATTATTGCAAACTTAAAAATAGCTTTCAGGAACAGCTTTAATGGTTTCCAACCATCCACATGAATGATGATGTACAGAAAAACACAGAAGAAACTGAACTTGGGAAAAATGATAAGGAGCGTAGAGCATGCTTCTATAAGCATGCTATAAGCATAAGAGATTTGTTTTGTAGTCTCTATATGTGTGTATGTGTGTATGTATGTATGTATGTATGTAAGATGTGTATGCGTGTATGTGAGTAGAACAAGAGACTCTCAAGTTTTGCATGTACCCCCACTCCAACTAGAGCACTGATGAATATAGTAGGTAAACACTGATTTAATGAATGAATACATAAATGAATGAGGTGGCAAATTACAATACAACTTTTTTTTTTCCTATTGGTTCTGATGTGAGATATGCAATAGGCAGTGTCTTTATAAGGCAGGGTTTTGCTCGTGGGCAGCAAGTGCCTTAGCTGAATAGCTCAGGTTAGAATTTTCTTCAATGGCATGTGTGCTAAGTGGCAAAAACCAATCTTCCCTTGGTGAAGAGAATGTTTCAATAGTGGAAAATTATTTTCTTTATAAGTTAATGTATTTGAATTTAGATTTTATTCTCATTGAAAAGATGTGATAAAGGGAGAGTAGGTTCTCAAGGCAAACCTAAATAATACAAAACATAGCTAAATTATAACTCTCATAGTACAAAAGACTCTTTTAGCCTTTAAATATTACTTTAGTGGAAATCATGGAGATACAAGTTCATTCATTCATTCAAAGTTTGTGTACTTCACTCAAAAGTGGGAGTAAAAATGGATGGCAGAAGAATCTTTTTTACATTCATATCAAAGGAAAGAAATCCCATGTCTGTGTATGTACCTTTATATATAATACAATAAAATGATATATATACATATGCATATATACACACATGCACACATAAGACCTACTAGGTAGCAACCTAGGCAAATCAATGACAGTGCAGCAGCCAGTGCATCCAGATGACTTTACCAAGTGAATATGGGGGTTAAGAGAGAGAAATAGATGTAGTATTATGAGGAATTCAGAAGGAATTATGAGGAATTCAGAAGGAATCTTAAAGAGATATTTTAAGGTTATGTAGGCTTGGGAATAAGGGAGAAAGATTGGGCATTCAGAGTGGAGTATTCAGCATAAAGAAACAGAAGAATTAGGGTATGAGGTGGAGTAAGAGAGAAACGAAGTAAGAAATATAGGCAGGGAATTGATGGATACTGATGAATATTGATGAATTGATGAATATTACTTGCAGGAGTCGATTTTATACAGTGCCATGCCTTATAGTTTTGGGAGTTTTTAAACAGGTTTTAAAAGATGGTGTATCCCACAGAATCTAATCCTCAGAAGATTAAAACATAATAAGAACTTTTCAAATGACAAAAACCATAAAAGCCAAAAAAGTTCTTCAAAATTATCATAATAGCTCTTTGTCATGTAAATCCTCTTTAAGAATTACTTTTTAATTACTTCTGTATGAAAATGCTCAGTGATCTGTTGTCTGACTTGCACTTTAAGCACCCTTTGGGAGCATACTTTGCCTGATGCTACAACTGTATTTCTGTAAAGCATTACATTTATCATACATGGCACCTAATTCAGGCAATGTGACAATTACATCACACCTTTTATCACATGTCATCGAAGTATTTCTACTTCTCATTTAAATTCATGGTCATTAACTTATTGATCAACCTGCAAGTTTTGATGATTTACTTTCCATTGTTACTTTAGGGTAGGTATGTAATAAATAATATAAAATATAAGTAATGTAGTAAGCTCTTAAAATATCAGATTTCATCCTTTTAAGCCTCAACATATATAACATCTATGTTTCTTACAATCTGTATAATAAACCACAATGAAACACATCACTAAATTATTTATTTATAATTTATTTATTAGTGCTCTTGAACATAAGTAACATTATACACTAGCCTTATGACACAGTTTATTTTCAGTTCTTAAAACTGTTTATACTAAGCTTAGATCTCAACCTAGAGTACATCAAAAAATGCCAAATCCTTAATATCTCATTACAATTACTTACAAAAAAGTTATATGTGAGAAAAAAACTTGATATTCCTACATAATAAAAATAAATTCCAGACACGAAATTTTCTTAATGAAATTCAATCTATTTCCAGGACATATAAACATATGTAGAAGTGCGACAGAATAACAGTCTCTATCTTTGTACATAATCTTTCTAGGGGCATATCGAAGGATATTTTGACCTGACTAGTTGAAGTTGCTTCTCTTTTTGGATGACAAAATTCAGAATACTGTGACTAAAATACCCCCTTTAAAAGAGTCAAATGCAGAACTTTCAAGTGTATATTATTCCAATAGCTTGCTCTCTGAGCTCCACTGTCAGAGTTAATTCTACACAAAATGAGTGTGTTAGTTGTCATGTGCAACTGGGAAAGCTAAATGGTCCCATTTGTCTAAAAATAGCACCTTCACTAGTATGTCTTAAACTTCCGTATTCATAGTAGGAGGCCAGCATTACCTTGATACCAAAACCAGATAAAGACTCCACTAAAAAAGAGAACTACAGGCCAATATCCCTGATGAACATGGATACAAAAATTCTCAATAAAACACTAGTAAACCAAACCCAACAGTACATTAAACATTGAAATTTAAATGTCTATATTCCATCTGAGATAATGAATACTGAGCATCAACAATTAGCATTCTTTGTCATATTAATAGGAATTATTTTTATAAGATTGGAAACATCCTTATTTCAATGAATCGAAAGGTCTAACGTAGAGAGATGATGAAGTGAACACCATTTTCTCCACTCCAAATTACTCATCCACATCCCACTCACACCCTGCACACAAATACACATATGCTAGAGCGTAAGCTTTTGGGGACTTCTGTCAGACCAAAGCACTCGGACTTTGTATACAGGACTGTTCCTTTATTTTCATGTTGAGGAGAAGTGAATTTTGTTACTCTGCACACACAATTCTGAAAACTCTACCATGTTAATGGAAATATCCCTCCCTCAACCCTAACTTTTTTCTGTTATTACATTCAGTTCAGAATAAGTTTATTCATCTCTTAAATACATAAAATAAAAGGCTAGTAAAATTGAATATTAGCATATACAGACCTCTGAAAAAAGAAAAATATCACATGAATGCCTCCTGGTTAGTCTGTGCTCCCTTCATTCTTTATTTTCATCCTAAAGGTCATAGATCCTTGACCCTCTTTATTGGCTTCATCTCATTCAGGGTGTTTTTTTCCCTCTCTCTTTATTGTGTCATTCATCAATTTACCCTCAACAAGCACTTTTCCACCACATATCTCCCTATGCCTATATCATATAGCTCAGCTTCACCTTGTTCCACATATTGTCTAGGTAGTAAGTAGTGCTCATTATGTCTCTCTCTGGGGAGTCACAGTTAATAGTTCTATGCAAAAGGCAACCCTTAACTGCTGTCATTAACCATTTTAAGATATTTTATAGTTTGAATTAACATTTTAGTATAGATAAAACTTGAATAGAGTGCCTACAATTCAAAATCCCCTTTAGGGGAGAAAATCTGCTTCCTTAAGGAGTTTATACATCCTTTGAAGAATTAACTGAAAACTAGAAATAAGTAGAAACACCCCAATTTGCAATTCAACCTAAATTTTTGTTCAACTACAAATTAAAGTTCAGAAACAAGTTTCCTGCTGATGTCCATTAAATTTAAATGCTACCTTTGTTTCAGCACTCATTTGTTTTTAGGAATTCAATGATTTGTCAAAAATAAAACCCAATTAATTCCAATTAGAATGTAGTCTAATGTATATTTCAATAATTCTATTATTTGTGCTCATATACATACAGTGACATCCTATCTTCACAGCTGTATGAATAGAAAGTACTGAGAGATGGGTCCAGTTCCCCATCACAATTCTAACCTTTCATAAAAATTTCCATAAAAAACTATTTTGAGATAATAGTTTTATTCATAAAATATACACACATTATATATCTGCATCTATACCCACACTTCATTTACATGTACATGTCATTATAATATTTGCATGAGTGTTCATATTCTTAGGCCAAGATATGTAAATAAATCACATAGCAATTTGAAAATTTAGCAACTAAATAGGCAATCTGTTAAGCATAATCAGACATGCTATTCAGCAACTGTATGATATAATTCAATCTTCCAAAGAAAATATATGTTTTGCATGAGGGTGCCTTTATAAAAACTTGATGACGTTTTCTAGGAATTTGTACTGAAATTTTCACATATTCAAAAAATAATAGGTAAAGCCATCTGACTAATGCTTAAATAAAAGGCAAATCTCATCACTGTCACCTGGTAAGAATCTAATTGTCTTATTGTCTATCATTTGTAAATATGATACACTAATTGGAGCTATTTCCAAAGAGAATGCAATCTTCTAGTCAAGATCCTATTCACTTATTAACATAAATGAAAGAAACTGTCATAAAATTAACCATTATCCATAGTTTTGATAAGCTAATATATATTTTAAAATTTACTATTCACTTCATGAATATGATGATCATCATAAATCATTCCATTTTTCAGATAATGATTTGATTATTTTTTGATGGGTTATTCAATAGCTAAAACCAGTAATCCAAGAAAGCCAATGAGTCTAATGTGTCAGAGTTAAACTAAAAAATACATCAGTTCAAAATAAGCATTACCTTGATCTGAATTTTCATAAAAAACAGCAGATCTCTTGCCAGGTAACACCATTTCTTTGGATTCTGTGGGCAAAGAGAAAAGAGATTAATAAAAACAACCTTTCTTTTTACTCTTTAAATACTTCTTGAAGAAGATTCATTAGTAATAAAGGTCAGAGACGAAAATCACTTAGCAAAATACTCAGCTCCATTCAGCAGCTGCCTTGGGAAATACTTGCTATAAATGCCAGGTAGTTTCCTAAAAGGTTCCCCCTCTCCTATAGCTGAGAACATGGGTGACTGTGGCAGATACTCAGCCTTGTTTTCCTTGCTTCTCTATCTTCTCACATGGGAACAAAACTAGCACTTGAGCAACAAAAAGCATTAGCTTCCACCATTTCAAAAGATAAGATGTAAGCCATGTTGGGACAGAACATTTACTTGGAATACAGCTAACTGAAATGGAATTTGCAATTATCTAAACTTACTTTTCTCCCTCCTGCAGTGAGTATGGGTTTTAAAATATTCATGAAAGCTTGGGTGTTTTCCTATTCTGTCTTTCCACAGAAGTAATACGATGAGATATTATGGGATGACTCTGTAAATAATTGCAGATTACCCTGCTTATATGATGCAGTTTCAGAGCTTTTCTATGCTGCAACAAGGAGGAAAGCACTTTATAGAAGTCAAAAGTATGAAAATATATCTTATTCCCTCTCTTAGCATATAACAATCTTGATGAGTATTCCATAAGAGATTTTATTGCATCATTATCTGAATGTTCAGATTGGAGAATAAGAAATTCAAGTCTGAGCAACAGCTTTCCAGAAAGGAATGTTACATAGCTAGGTAAGAATTTTAAATTCATTCCTCAAGAAAGTTATTTGAACAAATGTTAACAGTTAAAAGCATCATTGATTAATTGACTATAACAGTCATTGTAAGAATAGTCTTAAAACTGTAATCACTACATCTTACTAGCAAGTGACCTTGGGCAAGTACATTAAACTCTGTAAGCCTTTACATTTCATCTGTAATATCAGAATAATAATCCCTCCTACTCCACAGAGCTGATAAATGATATAAAAATGTATAAAGGATATAGAACTAATGAATATTATTTAATATAATTATCAATAACATCATTAATATTATTATCATTGTTCCCCTTTCAAAAAGATCTCACTACCCTACTGAAAATCTCTGCCTCTGTGAGCCATGTGGTGGAATGATTAAAATAGTATCATACTGGACATCACCGAATTTGCCTATTTGTTAATCACAGTCTGTGATGACAAAAATAAAGAAAGAAAGAAAGAAAGAAAGAAAGAATCATTTTAGGTCTTTGGACAGGTGGAGAAAAAAATTTTTTTCAGGAAGATGAGTAAGTTGTCAACCACTCTACTGCATTGGCTTCTCTTGATTTTGCTAAAGATTTTAATTTAAAGAAACCCTCCAAGAAATTATGATATATTTCAAGATTCTCTTAAAGAAACTGCCCCTTGTGTACTCTTATCAGTACTCAATCCCATTCAGAAAACACCTCATGAGCCCCTAGTGCAAGACAAGGGTATGGACTGACTTTAGAGAAAACAATAAACAAAGTATGACCCAAGAAAAACACAGTTCGGTGGAGGAAACACATCTTTAGACAATTATTTCAAGTAATTGATGTAAACACCAAGTTTAAATCATTAAACAATCCAAAACACAAAATGTGTTGGAGCAATAGAAGGTATTGAAAGAATATTCTGCAGTCAGAAAAGGGAGATTTAAAAAATAATCTTTAAAAAGTCAGTCAGAATAGCTGAACTGATACATACTGGCTGACTATCGGTCCTGTTTTGTCTAAGAAAATTTCACGAAAGAGAGGAACTTTGGAAGACTAAGTCTGGAAGGCAGGTAAGTAAGAATATGTCTTTCCAGGGAGCTGAGACAATGCATACAAAGAACTGGAATCATAAAAAAAACATGGAGACCAGATTAGCATGAGGCTGACTTGCAGAGAGCCCATTATACTTCTCCCCAATCTCTCATTAACATGCTCAGAGGATGTCAAAGAAGAGAAATACTAGTAATGGTATCAGGAGAAAAGAGACAAAATATAAAAAGGTATTTCTAGTAGCTGCATCCCTGATAGGGACAGATTAAGTAACACTGTTTTAGACTCGAACCTCTCACTGTATATTTTGAAAGATACAGCATATATGACTAGAAATAAAGAAACTGGGAAGGGACTTTGATTCACACCAATAGTCCCCAACCCCAAGGTGCTGGAATCAAGCAGACCAAAGTCTGCATAACTTCTCTTGTGGGTTGAATTGTGTCCCCCAGGAAATATATTAAAGTCCTACCCTTACACCTGCGAATGTGACCTTATTTGGAAATGGAGTCTTTTCAGATATAATTAAAATGTGAGTTAAGATTATATGATATAGAAAGGGGGGACCCTTAATCCAATATGACTGGTGTGTCCTTATAAGATGAGGCACAAAGACACATGCAGAGAGGAGAATGCCACATAAAGACAAGGCACACAGAGGGAGATCATGTGATGAGGGAAGAAGAGACTGGAGTCAACAAGCCAAAGAATACCAAAGATTGCTGACAACAGAAGCTAAGAGAAAGTCATGGAACTGATTCTCCCCTAGAGCTTACAGAGAGAACATGGCCCTGTTGACCCCCTTATTCTGGATTTAGAACCTCTAGAATTGTGAGAGAATAAATTTATCTTATTCTAAGCTACCCCATTTGTGGTAATTTGTTATGGCAGTCCTAGTAAACTAATGTAGCATCTTTTGAGGCAACAAGAAATAGTACCCTACCCTGATCACTTGGAATTTAAAAAATCTTACAGGTATACTGTCAGCAAACATATTCTCAATTTAGAATTTAGAATAGCCAGTTGCATATAAAAAGCTGATTTAAAGTTTAAGTTGTTTTCCCTCCATAGCTAGGATCCACTGAAAGTGGAAACCAACAGCCAGTGAAGAGGAATATGTTGGTCCTATATTTTTACCCCAGGTCCCTCTTCCCCAGCCAGTTAATCTTGCTCCCAATGCCTCTGGAATATGGGAGTGGAGTGAAAAAATGGAAGATAAGGAAAGAAGAGGTAAATGGAGAAGGAAAATTTACTTTCTGTTCACTGAGCTAAGAGAGCTATTATGTATTTAAAGCTGATTCTCAACCAGTGGATGCTTTTCCAGGTTTTTCAGGGATTATTTCCCCTTCTCCAATCACTGAGGACCTTTCATTTATACTACCTCAACATGAGTCATACTGTCTCACTTTATCACTTACCACATCCACAGCTCCAACTAACACGTTCAGCTATCTGCTAAAGGCAGTTCAGCCCCTGGGGAGCTCTCTGGGACACCTTCATGATTGCCCCCTCACATTCATGGCCCAGATCTACTGCACAGGGACCTCTCCAACAAACCCTGGGGAAATGGGCTACTCTCAATTGAGCACCTCTACTTTCTCTACCATAAATGCTCACTAGCTCATCTTGGCTTTAGATTCATCAGAAATCAGTCCACTGTCTCCAAAACCACCCCCAAAACTTCAAGGGACACATAGTAAACTCACTGAGTTTTGTTGAAGCACCTCTTTTTATCACTGGGAGGGGAAAAAAGGTAACACCCCACAACCTACCTCCTTGTGGACATTCCCAATGGACCCTCAGTTCACTCCAAAGAAATAAGCCTTTAATCTCTAGACCTCCCAGCCTTTTTGGATTAGGAATGTAGGAGTTATCTAACCAGTTCTCATGCTCATACTAGGGAATTTCTACAAGGTGCCCTGTGTTCATAAATCACTTTGGTATCTGATAGCTATTGTCTTAAAGGGTCAATATTTTCCCATTTACATAGGAGTTTTCACAATCTGAATTTTAAGAGACTCATAGGGGAAGCAGCTAAAAATTGTATAATATGCCTACTGGATATACAATCTTTTTGAAGTTTCTTGAGCATTCCATGAATTTTATATATAAATTCAATAAAATATAATCAATATTATCTCTCCTAATCTTCAATATAATCTCTCATCTTCAGTCAGGCAGAGTGCCTAATAGCTCTCACGTTGCTCTCACCAATTCCACTTTCCATGTCTGTTCCTTCTGGTTGTGGCTGAATTCTTACTTTTCAGCACCTTCCAAATTTACCACCCTGTCAATGTTTTAATGCCAACTTCTCCACAAAGTGATCCCCAGGTACTTCGGAGTTTGTTGATTTTATCACTCTCTGACCTTGTGTAGCAATTATAGCCAATGCATATAATTTATATTGTCTTCTTGGGTTGTCTTGTGCTATCATGTCTCCCCAACTATATTTTAAGTTCCTCAAGAGTATTTGTATCTTGTGCCTCTCACCTATCCCCTTTAGTACTTAATTCAATGCTTGGCACATAGGAGGTGGTTCCTAATAAATACATACTCACTTCCATGTACTAAATATCTATTAACAAAGATAAAGCAGAGCTAATTTTTGTGGCATAAATGTCTTATCATGTCCCATATAGAAATTACAGTCCTTGTCATTGCCACATAAAATTTAAAGAACATTTGAACAAACTAATATGTTAGATAGAACAGAAGCAGAAGCAGAAGACAAAGCAACATGAGAAATGATATGCCATCAGAAAACAAAGATGTCATTATTTGGAAATATAATCCATATGCAATGCTTTTGCATTTCTCTATGTTTGACCTCACCTTTCTGCCAGGGGTAGCACTTGTCTCAGAGGGATTAGGATTATTACAAGGTAAGTAAAATAAGAAAGGAGGAGACTACAGCTTCACCAGCAAGAATTCTAGATCCATAGCAAGGTGGCGGTCATGAAAACCAGGCTTTCCTTTTAATTTTTAAAAAGACGATCTTACTTGGCATTATCATATTAGAAGTCAGAATTAGAGAACTAGATCATGGAGTTATATGATGCCATTAGTGAAGAAAACATAGGGTATGATATAAAGGAGATGGAAAACTACCTTAGGCTCAAGGGTTGTATGGAGAAGAAGACAGAAGAGGAAGAGGTCAAATATCAAGTCTTCATTTCCCTCCTCTAAGTTAAATCCTCACATG